GCGTCCAGCCAGCATTCCCTACAGGTGATGGGGATGAAGGGACAGACTGTATGCAGGGACAGATGGGGTCACAACTTTGTCTTAGAAGGTCATGAGGGCAGCAGTGTGAAACACAGGTGCGAGGGAGGTGGAATAAAGGTTTGGGAGCATACTATCCCAAAGGATAAGGGGATTATGAGCCAAGGCCTGGGCCCGGGCAGAAGAGAAGAGTTCTGAGAGCTGTGAAGGCCCAGTGAGACCTAGGGAAGATAAACTAGGTCTACTCCAGGTGACCAGACACCTGGACCGTTGAATAGCTGAGCTGAATTAAACGGGATACCAGGGCCAGGAGCTCAGAAAGCAGTTGTGGCTGACTGGATAAGACCTGGTTTCTGGATTCAATGAGACTGAAAACCTGCTAACTTCCCTACAAAAAATCTGAGGCTATAGGGATTATTATCACAAGACTAACTGTATTACCCTCGGTAACAGAATTATAGCTAAAATACTAAACACCAGGTAGCAACTGGTAGGCATGCAATCTCTCTGAGGTAAGGCAGCATTTAAACCAAATAAACATCGGAAGTCATCAACAGGAACCTATTTCCTATAGAAGACCCCAAAGAAATATGGATTCATTTTCCCCTCCAATAAGCTTATAATCGTATTAGGGACCTAAAACACCAGACGTAAATATAAGAAAGGATATAGAAGATGCTTACTGAAATCCAAGGAGAAATAGGATTCAAATAGGAAGTGGGGAAGAGAAACGTGAAGCTCACTCATAACTGGACCTCATCAGAGGGCACCACCTGACAGCATACTCTGTTCCCCGCCCCCCCACCCCACCAGGGCTGGTTTAACCCCAGCACACAGCCGCTGTGGACCATCACTTAACAGAGCTGGTGTCAGGGAACAAGGACATCCAGGCCTTCTGTTAATGGGAGAGAAAGAACATGACGTACACAAAGGAAACAGAACCAAGACAACTGAATCAGCAGTATCAGGAGACGTTTTCTAATGGGATTTATATGGGCGAAAGGGGAAAGAATGGGGAAAGTTGGCAGGTCTCCATGAGGGGGGTGACAAAGAAGGCAGAACTAAGTAAGGCTCAGGGACCTGAGAAGAATGGGAGCTGCAAGTCTACTCAGGGAAATGAAATAAAAACCATTCTTAACAAGTAAATAAGAACAAATCAACCAAAAGTCTGTCCATGTTCCTGCCCTCCTCTGTCTCCTGAGTCTCCTATCAAGGAGAAAGCCAGCACAGACAGACTAAGAAGCTCAGGGACAGCAAGCTGCAGGAAGGCAATCTCTTCTGGGGTAAGTGAGGACTGGACGAGGTTGTCGGACAGGCACTCCTGGAGAGGTGGATTCCATGGTTTTATTGCCGAGTGCCTCTTAAGGAAAGGGTGGGCTGCTGTGAACGGGATTTAGTAGATTTGGGTGTTTTCAAATCTGATGTTTGAGTTTTTGCCATGAGGGCCATTCACTATGTCCAAGTTTGCCAATCTCTGAAAGCAGAATAAATATGAAACACCTCAGGAATTATACTCTGAACTCGAGACAAAGGTTCTCCTTGCCCCATTTTGGCTGAACAAACTTCTAAGACCTATGCCAAAGCATTTATCTTATACGAGGACTTATTCTAAAACGTGGCAAAATGAGCTTGGGGAGAATGATTCGATGGCATGTGGTTTATTTTTAATGATAGTGAAAGAGACAGGAGATTTAAACACTATGATTTAACAGTGAGTTGGCCTAGTTGCTATTTCACAAAAGAACTACTTGACAAATCCAAACCTGTCTCAGACTTCTGTGCGTGCTATCTAATTCTACACGATCCTAAATTCTTGCTATGTCTCTGCAGTATGTGACAGGACCCAGCTACTGTTGCTCACCTACTGGTCACCTACTGGTCATACAGCACCCCGAAAGTATTCGATCTCCTGTTCTCTTACATCACTACTCTTTGAAAAACACACTTTTTCACTGTTACTGAAGGAACTGCACTGAACAGTCATCCAACTAAAACCCTGTTATAAAGTAAGTATAAGGTACTGGAGACAATCATTACAAAAGAGCACAGAATGAATAATTTTCATTTAAGAAGCCGCTACTTTCAATCTTTAGGGAGAAAGAGCGATCACTGTAATGTCCCACTTTAAAGGGTCACAAATCATTACAAAAAATGAGTAAGAGGTAGTAAGTACCAACTGCACTAAGGGTGCTTATGATTTTATAGAAGGTGAAACTTGTTATTAATGAGTTCTTCAATAGATGGTTTCTCTTTATGAAATTATTGGAAGAAATAAAATGATTATTATTTTTGGAAAAGACCATAGTCTGAGGTTCAGATTATGCCTTTTCTATTACTTTTGACAAGCTATTAAAATTCATATTCTCTGCTGCAGTTTATCGACTGCTTTGGCAGAATATGCTGTAAAAGGGAAATTACAGAAGAATGTGACTTTCTGTAATAGAAAAGAGGAAGAGAGATCTATTCTTAGAGGACCTAGAATAATATTAAAGATAAAAGGCTGAAACAAACCGCTCATTCTTTTTCTCATTGTTTAGAATAAAATACCATAATTATTTTTCTTATTTCCAAAGAGACTCTTGCACTAATTCCGTCCTTGTCAACCCACACAGGAGATGGGGTTAAACCAAAATTAATACTAAACAGACATGTATGTTATCCAAGCAAAGCAATGTCCACTATTTCACTGCCTTCATCCTTTTTCTCAATAATAGAGCATACTTCCTCCTCACTCCTTGACAAATATAATTTAGAAAACATTAGCATACAATGAAACGATGTAGCAGTTATGGCTAATGTTTACTGAGCATTTACTACGTGGCAGTTATGGCTAATGTTTACTGAGCATTTACTACGTGGCACGCACTGATCTAAACACAGATCATCTAAAAAAATGAACTAAATCCTCATGACAGATAATCCTATGGGATATTAATAAGTATTTCCATTTTACACATAAATAAGGAAACTGAGGCTTAGCAAAATTAAGTGGCCACACTGCTGTTAACCAGTAAAATCAGATGACATGATGAATTAAGTATTTGAGAGTAACCATGATTAGGGACAAGAATGAGTTTTCTCCCAGGCTAGAAATATGTTCTTGGTTGGATACTATGGAAAGGTCTGGTCTTATCCCACTGCACAGAATTAGCGGAAGACTTTACACTCATAGTAGCTGTATCCCTCAATCATTAAGAGTAATTGTTACATATGCTTTATAGTTTTAGGTAGATTTATGCAAACAGATAAACACAAAATAAGACCCAAGAGTCCAATGGATTGTGAAGGTAAGAAACAAGTGTGATGTGGGAAGATATTCCGTTTTATGAAAATCTGAAAGATTGCAGTGATTCCCAATGGAGGCACCCCCGGCACTTGCGTGTGTGCAAGTGTGCATGTGTATATCTTGCAGGTATATGTGCACACACAAGCATTTATATAGGGGACAGTTCATTCTTTGTTGTACAGTGCTGTCCCGTGTGTCATATAACACATCTAGCGTCCTTAATCTCCACCCACTAAATACCATAAGTGCCAATGCTTGTGACCACTCAATATACTTCTGCACATTTTCTGCTGACCTGGAATGAGAATCATTGATTGCTACATAAAAATACTAAGAGAAGTAACTGACGTTAATTGTGCATTGTGAATGAGGTACTCTGCTAAGCGCATTCACACATACTCATTTATTACTCATAAACCCGTATGAGGTTAAGTACATATTTTATCTCCATTTTACAAGTGTGGATCTTGAGGCTCAGAGAAAGGTTGAGGAACTCAACCATGGACACACAGACACTTGAAGCCAACAGTCTGGCTCCACAACTACACTTCTCTGGGTTGATCGTTTATGCCATAAGAGTGTGTGGTAGGCATGCCTTTCCTTTAAAGGGGTTCAGTCAGAATATACAAATCCTTGTTAAGTAGGACCCACAGTGTGTATGTCATTATGAACCTGGGATGGAATATTTCCCTGGGTTGGAGGTGAGGGGCCATATGTTCAGTGACTAGTTATATGATGTAGGTATCAAGAGTTGGGCTGGAGAGCTCCTACGCACAAGTATATATTAGAAGAGCTTTGAGCGACTGTGTGTGTGTGTTTTCAGGGAGAAAAGAGTTGTACTATGCTGAGGTTTATGGGTTTTATTTATCACTTCCACAGCACTTACTATGCACCAGGCACTGCTACAACTGCTTGACAATATCTCATTGTGTAGCAATGTGCACAAGAGGTGATAGGTAGCAGCTGCGCTGGAAGGGGAAAGGTCAGCTTTGATACAGATCTACATCATTTGTGTTGTGGTCCTGTTCGAGGCTGGGGGAAGGGTTATGCTAGATGGTTTGTGTGCCACGCATACCGGAGGTGCTGCATGGGCAAGACTGGGTAGTGCAACTCACATGTGCATTTTGTGCATGGCCGGTAGTGAATACTGGAAGAGATCCAAAGGAAGGGGTCCTGGTTGTGCCCTGGGCCTGTGTATGGTGCGTGAAAACGCTGTGGACCAGGGTGCTTTCAGCGTGCAGCGGTATGTGCTCAAAGTGGTGCATAGGAGATGATTCATACAGTGTGCTCGGTAGGGACGGTGGCTGGAGAGGAGGGGGGCGCGTCGTGATGTGTGTGGGGAGCGATGCTCAGTACGATAGGAGAGGTGGGCATCGCGCTAGGTGACCCGCGAGTGCTCCTGATGTGGCCCGAAGCGCTGTATAGGAGGTAGTATAGGGTGGGGGTTGAGGGTGGGGGTTGGAGAGTAGGGGCGAACGCCAGTCCAAAAGCGCCGTAGGGCAGGAAGCTGGATGTGCTGTGAGACACCGCGCCCGTGGAGAAGCTGAGGGGCGGTGGGTCTGCGAGTGTGTGCGTGGAACAGCCAGCCCGATTCCTCATCCCGAGCTCCACCGGCCCACGCTCCTCACCACCGCCTCCCGCCAGCCCCTTCCCTTCGCCCAAGGGCACTCCCTCCACGCGGCCCGGCCCGTCTCACCGGGTGAAGGCGAAGTACATGAGGCTGACGATGGTGAAGCTGAGCAGGGTGATGGTGTGCGGCCGGTAGAAGAAGTCGATGGTGATGTCCTCCACTTGCTGCTCGTTGATCATCCGGAAATGCATCTTGTAGTTCACATCATCTTTGCTCAGGGTCCGACTCCCCACGCAGGACGCCATGGCCCGCCTCCCCGTCCTGCGGCGGCGGCGGCGGTCCCGGCCCGTAGAGGCTGGGACCCCGGAGGTGACGAGCCGCTGCAGGAGGGCAGCTGGACGACGGGGCCGGATCTGGCGCGGAGCAAAGGCTGGAAGCCGAGGGAAGGACAGGCGCGGGAGGGCGGGGTCGCGGCGCCGCCAACGCGGCCTCGGGCGGGGGGGCGCTGCCGGCAGTGTCGCCGCCGGCGTTCCGGGAGCCGCATCTCTGCGGACTCGTGCGTCTTCACATTCCCAGTGGACGAGGCTTAGGTAAGTAGCGTGCTGGAGAAGGGAAGCTGTGACCCCTGGCCGGCTCTTTCCTCCCCCGCACGCCGCCAGCTTTCCCCCCGCGCAGCCTCGCAGATGGTCTCGCCCACTCCGGCCGCAGTCCACGTGGGCGAGGGAGCGCGGCGGCGCGGGCCGGCGGGGCTGGCTGACGGGCGGCCGTGAGACGCTGCGGGACTGTCCGCCGGGCCGGGCCAGCCTGGCGGCTACCCCCAAACAAACCGGGAGCGTGCGCCTCGCCACAGGTAAAGCGGGAGCCGTCGGAGCACTCGGGGCGCGCTCCCGGTGGGATTCGGGTCCGGACCCACCCGCGTCCAGGCCGGCCCGGGCCTCATGGCCCCTGGGTCTCCGCGGCCCAGTCGGGGGCGATTAGTTTAGTTTTGTTTTTTTCTCTGGCCGATGAGACGAAAACGCAACCATGCTTGTTTATTAGCGCCTTTTGCGGAGGGCGCGGAAGGAAGCCTAGCGTGGCAGCTGGCTTCCTGCGGAAGTTCGCTATGGGGACTTGTTAAAATGGCCTAGGAGGGGCCTGTAGCATTCACGAGGGGCCCCTGATTACGAAGCCATCTTCTGAACACCCCCTTTCATCCCCTGACTTCACTTAGCCTTACAGAGTTAGAAATCTTGAGCCCTGGGAAAACAGTACTTCAGTGACAATTCCTTTTCTTAGCGAAGAATTAGAGCAAGTCCTGGTATATGATATTTTAATGCAGAATCCTTTAGGGCTTTTTTCTTTAATCTTCTGAGGGAGTCGCGTTAGATTTACTGTTAGCACCACGCAGGGCCTTTGTGCACGTCTGCAAATGCTTTATCCGCATTTGAATACTGAGTAGAGGAATTAATCATAGTTGCAACTGATTCATTTCCATCCAACAGACATTGGAGCAATGCAAGTCTCTGGGCTAAGGGGACTAGTCACTGGGAGGGTGGGTCCAGAGATAGGACCCAGCCCTGGTCCAGTGAACGAACAATTCATCAATTGTTAAGAGGTACATACAGCAATGAAATGATGATGTAGAGAGGATACTGCACTTGTAAATACAAACAGGATAAACATTAGTTGAATGCATAAAGGTCATTAAATGAATATGGATGGAATTCAAAAGCTAATTTGAGCTATATGGGAGGAGTATTAATTTGAGCCTGGAAAGGCTGCACAGTGAATGTGGGATTTCAGAAATTTGCTTTGAAGTAGGGTAAAATATTTAGATAAACTTAGAAGTCAAAATATTTAAGAGCTGATAGGGACCTTAAGAATCACATTATTGTATCCATAACCTTTTCAAAAAATTGTTATTTTTTAAACAATTTTTTTAAAAAATTTTTTAGTTATGTTAATCACCATACATCATTAGTTTTTGATATAGTGTTCCATGATTCATTGTTTGTGCATAACACCCAGTGCTCCTCGCAGAATGTGCCCTCTTTAATACCCATCACCAGGCTAACCCATCCCCGCACCCCCCTCCCCTCTAGAACCCTCAGTTTGTTTTTCAGAGTCCATCATCTCTCATGGTTCGTCTCCCCCCTCCGATTTACCCCCCTTAAACAATTTTTATTTATTTATTTATTTATTCATTTATTCATTCATTTTAAAGATTTTATTTGTTTGACAGAGAGACACACAGCGAGAGAGGGAACACAAGCAGGGGGGAGTGGGAGAGGGAGAAGCAGGCTTCCCGCCAAGCAGGGAGCCTGATGCGGGCTTGATCCCAGGATCCTGGGATCATGACCTGAGCCGAAGGCAGACGCTTAATGACTGAGCCACCAAGGCGCCCCAAAAAATTGTTATTTCAAGAATAGTTATTGAACCCCCATCATGGGCCTGCAGTGTGCCCACCACCACAAGAAATAGTCTTGTCAACTAGCACAACTGAGGTCTTATGGCTTCCAATTTGCTCCCTTATGACTTTGTGCAGAGAATGAATGTTGTAGGTTTGAGGGAAAACCTGACAGATTTGGCAGGTCATTTCCTGCCAGAATTTAACAAAAAGCACCTAGCCCATAAGCCTGGTGTGCCGACCTATTTCCTTTCTAAAATTATTTCAGAATGACAGTGAGACTTTCACTTTTGTAAAGCTCTTTCAGGAGATTTCCCTAAACTACAGATCTCCAGGAGGAGGTTAGACCTTCAATATCTGGTCTAATTGTGAGCATAAAACAAGCTGAATTCCAATATGTAGAAAAACAAATAAAAAAGTTGTATACTACAGTTAATGCAGAATTCATTTATATATGGATGTGTAGTCAATAATAATACTAATGGCTAACATTTGTTGAGGATTTTCCATATGCTGGACTCCATGCTGTGTGTTATATGGATTATCTTATTTAACATAAAATTATATGCATCAAATCTACTCTTCTAATTAAACTGTCTAAATATAAAATTTCTTCATAATCCTGGAGCTTAAAGTATTAACAGCCTTTCCTTATAAAAATCTTTTTAAAAACAACTGTATTTTTGGTCAAAATATTCATGTATTCTTTACTGGTTGCTTATGTATTTCTGTCACTTCATTTTGCTTGCTAGTTTTGACCTTTTGTTTTTGAAGCCTTTTCTTTTTTTTTTTCTACAGCCAAAAAGCAGAATTTGACAAAATTGGTTTTGTTCAATGCCCTTTTGAGGAACAGCTTTATATGAAATAATCAACAGTGTTCAGCCCTGAGGATTAACCAAGAAACAATCTTCTAGATAACAGTGATGATATTTAGGACAGTGATAATTCATTTAGGACAAAGTAGATTTCTTCTTGTTTTTTAGTTTGTGAGTAATGCATAAACATAAAATGCATTTGCATAATTCAGTGTCTTGGATCAACAATCTGCTTCTTCAAACCAATGTCCTTCAAACCAAATTTCAAGAACACTTAATTGCATCACCTTATTTCCTTTAAATATTAAATTAACAGATTATTGGGTTCAGCTGTAATTTAAACATTTACAGATTTTTGTTTTAAATGGTTTTCTTATACCAGTGGTTTTGCTTTTTTTTTATATTGTAAAGCAGTTGTTATTTTTCCAGTTCAGAAGTTCCTTTCTTTTGGTTTGTAACGGGGACTGTCTTGTTTTTGGCTTTTCCTGTGCTTAAGTAACATGTGACTGCTCTAATCATCTAAGTCTATTAAACATTTTTTAATGAGAAAAAAGATTTTCCAGTTTATCATTTTGTTGTTTGAGTACTGTTCTAAATATTTAGGTCAAGTAAGTTTCTCTTTTTTGGTGGTTATATATTTCCTTTGTAGGCTACTTTAAGAAAAATGGCTTTGTCAGCCCAACAGATACCCAGATGGTTCAATTCAGTTAAATTGAGTAGCTTCATTACAGCTACACAATGCGGAAAACATTTCCAGAGACCAGGAAGAACGTTGTTGCATGGCTTTTCTGCTCAGCCACAGATGTCCTCTGACAATTGCTTTCTCCAGTGGGGATTCAAGACTTATAGGACTTCCTCCTTATGGAATAGTTCCCAGTCTACCAACTCAAGTAGGCAAGAGATTGGTTCTGCCCAAAGTACTCTGCTTCCTTCCATGAATGAACAGACACAGAAGACACAAAAAATACCCAACTTTGATTCTGAGCTGTCTCTAGAAGGTAATTCTGAACTTCCAGAAGAGTCCCCTCTGCCCCACTTTGGTAGTTTGAACAGGTTAACTGTTTATAGTCTGTTAGCCTATTTCAGGTCATACTTTGTACCAAGTAAGAAAAAGAACAATGCCAGTTCTATTCATTTACTTACTTGACTGAGAAAAAAGGTTTGTAGATTAATATATATATAGTATTATATTCTAGATATATGTGTAACAGTTGCTTTTTAAATACTTTATTATTTAAATTTATAAAAAATTTTCAGGTGGTAATTAGTTTTACTAGGGTGTAATTTATTCTAATATGATATTCCTGATTAGGATATAATTTTATCCAAGTAAAATTCATCAGTTTTGAGTGTACAGTTTTATGAATTTTGACAAACACATCTAGTAGTGTAACAGCCTCCACAATTAACAAACCGAAAAGAACACCCCAAAAAGCTCCCTTGTCACTTTTTAGTCAGTCCTCTCTCTCCTGCGCTTCCTATTCTAGGAATATTCCCGTGCAAGGAATACTTCACCACAATGAGGGAATATTAGGTTAAGTAGAATATGAAAGAAAGACAGCAGGGTCAAGGAGGGCAGGGAGGAAAGACTGGCTATAAGAAATAAGAAAGGGTAGTTATGAGAAGCAAAAAATAGAACAAAAAAAACATAGTCTTGATTCTTTAGCTTAAGGTAGGTTACAGTTCCCAGTGTCTCCCATTACGCATTTGGTTTAAACAAAACAAAATCTCAGAATCAGGGCTGTGCTAGAGAGGGTCGTGTCCATAGCGAAGGACTACATGTGGTAGAAACAATCACAGAAGTCTTTTTAAAGACGTACTTGAGAATAACTTGGAGGAAAGGAGATTCCATCAAAAGTCATTTCAGGATCGAATTGACTCTAACTCATACAAATCAGGCTGGTAGAATATGTTGTACTTTGGGCCAGTTTAACAAGCTATGGTAGAATCTATCTCAAAATGTACTGGAAGGTCGGTTGATTTTTAGCATTCTTACCTGTTGATTAAAAGTGAACTAAAAGAAAGGAATTTTGTGTAGGACCTCCTCCTTATGAATAGAAACTTACCAACAGATTGCTTATCTTGGAGGAACAGTGGTTGATTTCTCTGAATAGTCTTAGCCTTACCTCTCAGGAGGTAGAAAATATTTGAACTTCTCAGATATTTAGTTCTAAAATGATCCCAAGATTTAAAAAAGAAGCAAACTAGGGAAGAGGTTTCGCTTTAGGTGTACAGAC